AATTATTTTTCAGAATCTGTCTCTAGGCTGGTTTAACCTGCTGGCCTCAATTTTCGGATCAAGAAATAGAACCAGAACGAGACTAAGTGATAGTTCAGCATGATCCAGCCCCAGCAGTCAGCAAAAGCCACAGTGACTTGGTCCCGATCCTGACCTCACTAGAGTCAGTTCTCGGATTCACAAATACACGGGCTGCTTTTGATTAAATTATTTAATCAGCTTCATCAATATTTGACAAATTTATTGTCGGTGCCTCTCATTTAGCAATTAATTACATAATGTGCCATTCTTTTTGGCTGGTGTTTTGTATTGTTGTTTATTCTTTTTCCCCAACTTTATTGAGTTGTTATGCATTCTTGTATATTTAAAATTGAATTCCTTGAGAAAGCCTGTGCTGTCTGTGACTCTCTCAAGGAAAAGGACTGCGACCCGTAATTCTTTGCCCCCTCTCTCCTGCCCAGGGCCTCACATTCAATAGGACTGGAATTTGAATTGATCTCCTTTGTAATTTGAGAAAATATAAGTTTCAGGTTTTGAATTATTTCCCTGATGGTATTAATTGATAAGTTGCTGAAGCAGAGTTCTTTAGTTACCTGGTTAGTGTCAAAATCACCGAAAAATGACTTTTTTTTTGTCAAGGGACACAGAAAAAGCTGTTTGTTTCTGGATCTTTCTTCACCGATCTGCCATAGTGCCTGAGTTTCCTTGCCTCTTTTAGGAGTTAACAAATAATTGGACCTACTTAAAAGTCAGTGGGACAACACACCAACCCATTATGATTTTAGTCTGTAGGCAATGCTGGGAAGGCAGATTTTCAATGGTACAAAGCACCAGGATGGCAGATCAGGTTAAAGTACTCTTTATATCATCATCATCATCATCATCATTATTATTATTATCATTATTAATTATTATTGATCATTGTGAGAGTGGACATTTCTGGATCATTACTATATGCCAGACATAGTTCAAAAGTGTTAGCTCAGTTAACCCTTACAGCATCACAACATCCCCGTGAAGTAAGCACTGTTATTACCCTATTTTACATGTGAGGAAACTAAAGCCCAGAGATGCTAAGCAACTTGCCTAAGGTCACACAGCTAGGAAATGACAAAGCTAGTCATCAGGTGGTCTGGTTCCAGGACCCGAGCTTCACTTGGTAGGAAGAACACTCTCCGGGAGAAGGTGGGGGATGGAGGAGGCTGAAGGTGGATATAAGACTTGTCCTACCCTTGGTTTCCTTATAACTTTGTCCAGGGTGGGATCTTTATCTGTGGCGTATCCACTAAGTGTCAGCCTTAAGACACATGAAGCCATGTGGTAAGAGGAGATCAGGTCTTTTCAGGGTCTATTTTGTGTTAGCAGTGAAGTTCTTGCTGCTTGGAAGTTGCAGGAAATGACCCACAGGAAAGCTTTCTGGTTCCATTTCTGATCCCGTAGACCCCCCGCAGAGGCAGCAGGGAAGACCAGAGGAGCTCAATGATGGAGTAGCGAGCATAAAAGCACTTCAAGTGGGCACGGTTGTTCCAGGGAGGGGAAACAAAACACAGAACAATCGACTGAGCCACAATGAGGGCACACCCAGTTAGGACCCGAGCTGGGACTCAAACCAAATGCCCACCTCACATTTCAGGGCCTCGCGCTCGCTCAGAGGTAGGAAAGTTCAGTCTGTTTGCTCCTCCTCTCTTGTGACAGAATGTTCCATTTCAAGTCTTCATTCACCATGATTTAACTTCCTGCCCAATACGGTATAGCGGCTGTTTACCGACGTTTCCACGCACAGAGGAAGACAGCATTTCCCTGCCTCTTTGAAGCTGGGCGCGGCCACGTGTGTGAATGTCTTTGGCCGAGAACATGTGAGCAGAAGTGACCATTGTGTGATACTTCTGGATGTAGCATTTTGTTGTCAGAGTGAGGCTCTCCAGAGCTCTTTTCCCTTTCCACGTGAACCAGAGAGGCTGTGTCTTCCAGACGGTACCAGATGACAAAGCTTTTTCAGCATAGATGGCTGAGCTGCTACAGAGAAGACTGTTGTCCCTACAGAGTCACCCAGACCCTGAGACTTTGAGTGAGCGAGAAATACATCACCCCTGTGTTAACTCACCAAGGTTACTACCTTGTTTGTCACTGCAGCATAACCTAGCCTATCCTGATGATTACCAATGGGCTTTGGGGGTCTTTGTGAGCTGTATTAGTGAGCACCATCAGCTGGTAGGCAATATGCTAAGTATTTAAGATGATTTTCTCATTTAATGATTTAATCCTTACAATAACCCAAATGAGGCATGTGTCTACATCATGTGCAAATGAAGATATTGAGTCCAAGAGAAAGTAAATAAATTCCCCAAGTTACTCAACTAGTAAGAACCAGAGTTTCACTCCCAGGCATCTATTTGTTTTTTTTTCCCTGAGGAAGATTCACCCTGAGCCAGCATCTGTGCCAGTCTTCCTCTTTTCATTGAGAAAGATTCACCCCGAGCTAACATCTGTGCCCATCTTCCTCTATTTTGTATGTGGGTCTCCGCCACAGCATGGCTGCTGACAAGTGGTGTAGGTCTGTGCCCAGGAATTGAACCCAGGCCACTGAAACGGAGCACGCCAAACTTAACCACTAGGCCACGGGGCCAGCCCCCCAGGCGTCTGGTTTATTTCACTACACTGCTCTGCCTGCCTTAAGATGGTGTTAACTCTCACTGAGTGGTTGAGATTTTTATTTTTTCTTCTTCTCCCCAAAGCCCCCAGTACATAGTTGTATATTTTAGTTGTGGGTCCTTCTAGTTGTGGCATGTGGAATGCCACCTCAGCATGGCCTGATGAGTGGTGCTGGGTCCACTCCCAGGACCTGAACTGGTGAAACCCTGGGCCGCCAAAGCAGAGCGTGTGAACTTAACCACTCGGCCATGGGGCTGGCCCTTCACTGAGTGTTTAAAAGCGTCAATTGATCCCATAAGCATTCTGTAGAGTGCCTATTGTGTGTTTATCACTGATCCAAGTGCTATGGGTAGTGCAATGTGAGAGATGAGTCCCAACCTTAAGGAATTCAGAGTCTGGTTGAGGGGAGTAAAGGACCTGAAACAATAATGAGCAATAGGAGATGCGAGTCAGTGCTGAACAGCCTTTGAACCTCCAGCTGGGACTTGAAGGTTAGCTAGGATGTGAGTAGGTGGAAACCGTGGGGGGGAGCTGTCTATGCCGTCCAGCACGGTGGGGAAGAGTGTGGGCTTGGATTGCCTGGCTTTCAATGGCAGCCCAACCACTTAAGCTTCTCTCAGCCTTTTTCCTTCATTTGCGAAATGGTGTCTGTAATAGTGCTCACATCATGGGGTTGTGGTGAGAATTATGGGGGACAATGGATGTGAAGGACTTAGCAGAGTGATGGCATACAGTGGTGCTCGATAAATGTTACCTGTCTCCAGGTGCTGGAAACAATAGGAGGAAGAGGCTGGTATGAAAACCAGCATGTGAAGTCATGATACACATGATAATACCCATGAGCTTGAGGGGTTCCATTTATGTCGCATTCTTTCTTTGAGACACGAAGAAGACAAGGCAGCCCCTTGTGAATGCACTGAGTGTGACGGGTGCAAAGATGGACTAGACATGATCACTCGTGGATTGAAGAGTGTGGATGTATTCAGGGGGAATGGCTCGGGGGAATCACCATGTGCGTGATGGGAGAGAGAGGAGAGGATACAGTGCAGAGCACAGGATGCCTGTGGTGCTCCCCAGGCCCAGGTTATGAAACAACCCAGGCTTTATGCAACAGATGCCACTGATAAGCATGGTTGACATTATTCTTACCATTTTCCAAATCTGCTCTGGCAGCTGTGTGGACGCTGGTTGCTACTCATGTATATGCTGTTTTTACTTGATGAAGTCAAGTTGGGGAAAGAGCGTGGGTTTTGGAGTCACACTGATCGAGATTTCAGTCCTAACTCCGGCACTTACTGTCTGATCTTGGGTAAATTTCTAAAGCCCCTGAAACTTCAGTTTCCTCATCTATAAAATGGGGTGATAATCCCCACCTTTCAGGATTTAAAATGGATTAAGAAGGATCTATTTAAAGCACCCAGGACAGTTATTCTTGTCAGAACTATTGTCAGGGGCAGCTCTTGCTGTTATGAATGATGGGTCTTCAAGACTCCAGCAGGCAGCTCTTGGCAAGACTGGGATTTGTGGATTTTTACGTCACAGAGAGCCACTGGGGAAGGACCAAGAATGTTACGTGGAAATACTCCTCTAATTCCTTCACTAAATCATTCTCTCTCCCTTGGTCTTGTGATTTTTTTTTTTTTTTTGAGGAAGATTAGCCCTGAGCTAACATCTGCCACCAATCCTCCTCTTTTTGCAGAGGAAGACTGGCCCTGAGCTAACATCCCTGCCCGTCTTCCTCTACTTTATACATGGGACGCCTGCCACAGCATGGTGTGCCAAGCGGTGCCATGTCTGCACCCGGGATCTCAACTGGCGAGCCCGGGGCCGCTGAAGCGGCACATGCGCACTTAACCGCTGCACCACTGGCTGGCCCAAGGTCTTGTGATTTTTAAGAAAAGAAATAAGATTTATAAGTTTATAATAAGTACGGAATATCAACCCGTGTGGAAAATGAACATCGTAACTTTACTCGTCTTAGTTTTAATTAAAGATCATACAGAATTGGTTCCTTAAGATGGCTCTTTCCCAGCGGCTCACGCTCTCCTTCGACAGCCGTAAAAATGAGCCAGTTTATGGCGCCGGCCGCGTGGCCGAGTGGTTGAGTTCACGCGCTCCGCTTTGGTGGCCCATGGTTTCGCTGGTTCGGATCCTGGGCACAGACATGGCTCTGCTCATCAAGCCACGGTGAGGCAGCATCCTACATGCCACAACTAGAACGACCCACAACTAAAAATACACAACTATGGACCGGGGGGCTTTGGGAGAGAAAGGAAAAATAAAATCTTAAAAAAAAAAAATGAACCAGTTTAGTTGCTATTTTTACCTCTCTCTTCTTTCTGCTTTAGTCTAAATTCAGCAGACAAATATACGTCAAATGGAATCGAGCGGTGAAATCGCCATCTTGCCTTCAGCCTGCCGCCTGGCACCTGTGGGGGGAACACCGAGACTCCTCTGCTGTCTTGGAGATGCTTGCATTTTGACCGTAAGGCTCGTCGTGGGAACATTTATATCTGCAGGCAGAGCAAGCTTGAGCTGAGTTGAACTTTTGGGTTCTGTCTCACAGAGAGACACGCAGAGGGATATTTTCTTGCTGTTTAACTCTTTCTAAAATATCCTCTCATAAACAGTCCTCATGGGATTGCTTCTTCTCTTCTTGTCCAACTGGAGTTGGTGTTCATTATGGAATTTTCACATGTAAAGTGGTTTTAATAGGCCTGTTTGGTCTTCGTTCTCTGGAGTACCCAGGACTATACACCAAAAAGGGAGGGCAAAGATTCGTGACAAAAGGTTTTTGTTGCCTTGCAGTTCCTTCATTGTTTATTTAACCAATATTTATCAAGTGCTTATGCTAAGTCCGTATACTGGTCTTGGAGATACTATGGTCGATAAAACATAAACCCTGATTCTCTAGGAATTTTTCCTGTTCAGTATGAGATTTGGGCAAGTTAGCAGGAAGTTAATCAGAAATGAGAGGTGTCTGGTGATGGGAAGCCCACAGGAGACCCTGAACTCCTCAAGCTAGAAGTCAGCCCTCCACCTCCTTCATAGAGCTTGTCATCTGCTTCCCTGGAGTAGTTCTGGGTGGACATGTCCTTCGTCCTGTACCATAGACTGGCTCTTTGAGGGCAAGGACTTTTCGTCTTATTTTTGCCGGTGTCCGCCATTGCACCCAATTCAGTTCCCAGTGAGTAATAGCCACTCAATAAACGCTTATGGGATGAAAATGTCATCTCTCTCTCGCAATGTTTGCTTTATCTAGAAAAACATTACACAAGTGAATCCCAGCTTCCAATTGTAATCTTGTAAGAAGAATGTTTTAATATCACAAAAGCAAAAAGGTTATAACACAATCCCACCACCCTAAGTCGTTCATTCATGAGTTAAAATTCATGAGTCAATGAGTAATATTTCAGAAAGCGTTTATGAGTTCCTACCATGAGCAGACACTGTTTGAAGCATGGGGATGCTTCAGTAAAGAATCCAGTCGTAGTCCCTTCTGTGATGGAGCCAGTGTAGGAGATGGTAAACAGATGTGTATTGAAATTCCAGTTATGCTCAGTCTCCTCTTTTCTTCCACTGGCCTCAAGCTCCAGGAGCCATTGGTTCCTCTGGTCAGGAGGGAGGGACGGAAGTAGATAGGAGGGAAGCTCAGTGGAGTCTGTGGGGATGTACCAACTTGAGAGGCAGGCTTCCAGCCAGTGGGCCACCTGTTTCCCCCACTTTGGGGTTTGCCTGGGTTGGTCTCAGTTCCTCAAGAATATTTGCACATCAAAGGCTGCTTCCAGGGCAAAGTCCTCATGTTGCATTCAACGAGACTTGGAATTCCCAGAATTGCCATCCTGTAAGCCAGAAAATAGCTTTGCTTTGCATTGCATCTCTTCGATTCCCATTGTGCTGCCTTCCAGAGGGACTTCAGGAAGTCAGAAGCAGCTTTTCCAATTTTATTAATGCAGAGTTTGTTACTATGGCTCTCCTAGAACAGGCATTACTATAGTTTCTTCTGGTGATGATAAAGATGCCTCCTACCTTGACGATAATCCTAAAGAAGCTCCTGAGAACTGCAACAGCTTTTTTGAGTCCAGTGGAATGACGGTACTAGTTAGGATTTGGCTCCACTATGCCAAACGAGACAGCAGTTTATTTCTCTCTCACATAAACATAGGTAATCCAGATCCGGTATGGCAGGTCCATGAACATCAAAGACCCAGGGTTCTTCTTTCTTTCCAGAAGTGCCTTTCATACTGTCTAAGACACCTGCTTTAGCTCTGACCATCATGGCCACATTCCACCCAGCAGAAAGAAAGTTCAGGGTGAATCAGAGCCTGCTCTTATCCAGGAGTTTGCACACACTGTTTTTGCTTATATCCCACCGGTCAGATCTTAGATACTCAGCCACGTGGTGGTAAAGGTGGCTGGGAAATATATTTTGTTTTGTAATGATCACATATCTAGTTAAAAGTGAAGATTTTATTTATAGTGAAAGGGCAGAAGGGATAGCTGGAGACAACAAGCCTTTCTGACATACTGGGCCAATGTGAAGACTCTTGCTACCATTGGCCAGGATGCAATCGTGCTGGCAAGACTAAATTATAGTTGTTACAGAGCACTGGGTTTCTCCAGAGAACATTCAGATCTGCGCCAATCTTATGCAAACCACTGTCTCGATTTAAGTGCGGTGCGTGGCCCGTAGTGAAGTGCAGATGGTGGTTTTGGTGGTGAGGTGGAGAGGGGGAAGTTGGCAGTACTAATTCCACACTAAAGTTAGCTCTATATATTGCCATTGATCATCCCAAAGCATTCTGTCTAAGTTTTCAATTTGATGCTACCTTCTAAATTACTAGGCTTCCCTTGGAATGAACGAATCAACTGACGTGATGAAACTGAAGTCAGTGTATTTGTGGGATATCATTAATTTGCTCCGGGGACCTTGGTTCAAGCAATTGGTGCTTGTCTCTGAAATGGGAACTGAGGTCGTTTTAACATGTGTTTGTCTGATATTAAAGATGACTTTTCTGGTTCCAGAGATGAGAAGCTCAAGTATAAAAAGATAACAAGTAATCAATCTAGCCATTGATAAGGATTCTCTAAATGTGTACTGTCCAATACAGTAGCCATTAGCTACTTAAATTTTTAAATTAGTTGAAGTTAGATTTATTTCCTCGGTTGCACTAGCCACGTTTCAAGTGCTTTACAGCCCTGCCTGGCTAGTGGCTACTGTAACGGACGATGCTAGTACAGGACATTTCCGTCACTGCGGAAAGTTCCGTTGGAACGTGCTGCTTTTACTCTGGAGGGAGAACGTAGCTAAAGTAGTCAGATAATGTATTACATTCCATTTCACACTTAATATTATTTTAAAGGAATGGATAAATTCTGATGCTGAAGATGAATCAAGATGTTAGAATAAGGGATTCCAGGATCAAGATACCAGAATGTGAACAAGGGAGCATAGTGTGGATCGATACATTGGATAGACACATAAATATTATGCTCACGTTAAGGATCCAAAACTGGACTCAGACCAGATGAGAATTGTTACTAGGCGTTTTGCTTAAATTTAACACATTTTGTGCGACCTTTCTAAATACATTGGCTCAAATCAAACAAGAAGGATGACTAGAACGTAAGATCATACTTATCTGTGTTTCTATGGAAAGGATTAGAATTTTTTTATGTGGACTTTTTTCCCCCCACAAAATTCGGATCAAGATTCTAAGTTCAGCTTGGACACATTTAGTTTGAGATGCTTGTGAAACATCCAAGTATAGATGTTTCCATTTTTCCTGTATTCCCTTTCAATCTTCATTTGCATTTTAGATCATTATAATTATAGTGAATATTGTACAAAGAATACTTATCTATCTTTAAGTATTACCTTGTATTTTAGCATTTACTTAATAATTTCCATCTTCCTGAAAATGGTGGTTTCCAACTGTTTACTATTTTGAGTTAATATGCAGTAGACATCTTTGTGAAATTAACTTTTTTTCTTCTTTTGGATTATTTTTTTAGGATGAATTGCTAAGAAACGAGATAATCAGTACAGATGTGTGAGCATCGTTCCGGCTTAATACATGTGGCTATTTCTTTCCTAGGAGTCATATCGGTTTGTCCTGGTCAACCTGTCAGCTGGCTGGCCCCACCATCATCTGTCCACGTTACAGATAATCAGTTGTAAATAGGTATCCTGAGTATATGAAGATCTGTAATCACACTGCTTGGGTTCACATTACTATTTAACCAAATGCTAGTTATGTGACTTTGGATAAGTTGCTAACATTGCTAAGCCTCAGTTTCATTGTCTGTAAAATGGGAAGAAGCAGGTATCCACTTAGGTTTGTTGTGAAGATGAAATAAGAGAACCCCTGCAAAATGTTGAGCCCAGTTCCTAGCCCATAACTGTTAATCGTTATTACTGCTGTTATTAGTATTTATTAGTATTATTTCCTTAACCACTAACAAGTTGAATCCTTCTTTCACGTGCTGTTTTATACTTTTCATTTTCTTTTGTGTGGCTCTTTCCATCTTCCATCCTTTTGTTTTTTGGCATTTTGTTATCTTTAACCTTAAGAAGAGCTATTGATAACACTGTTTGTTTGACATTTATACTGATTTTCCTCCAATCTTGAATTTTTTTATTGTATAGAAATTTAAATATTTTATCTTATTTGATCCAGGTATGTTTTCTTTCACATTTTCTTCTATTGTGTCAAATCTGAAGAACATATTATTATCACTCTTCCAAAGACCTATTTGCTAGTTTTTAATGATTTAAGAACTAGTTGATGTGGTGTTTGCCTTTATGCATGAATATAAGTCATTGTTTTGCCTCCTTTTTCCTGCCCACAGAGTTGTCTAGTTAGCCCAACACCATTTAAAAGTAATCTTTCCTTTTCCATTGTCTCGTGATAACTTATTTTCCACACGTTACCTTCTGTTATGTGACTGTTCTAATCAGTAATGAGCTGTGATTTGACCATTTCTTTGAGGTCACTGGGGCAGGTGGCGTCCAGGAATTTTCACTGTCTTGGGAGAGTCCAGCATTTACAAAGAAACTTGGTCACCATCTTCTGTGTCCCGAGGTAATTGTGGGTAGTGCACAAGAGTTTAGTCTTACTTGAAAGCTGTAAATCTTATCTTAGCAAATAAAATAAAACTGGCTAATGATCACCAACCATATTTTCTTTTCTTCTAAGGGATGGGCTTGAAAAAGTAAAGGGGAGGGGAGGTTTCTTACAACAGCACTAAAAGAGCTTTTAAGCAGAAAATTGCCTTAAGTCAACCAAGAGAGGTTATCCTCATTATACAAACACACCCTTCTCAATTGAGCCCTTTTATGTTATAATTGTTTTCACATCTATAGAACTCCGTGAGAGATTATGCTGAAAATCTATTTGTTTGTCCAAAAATATTTTAAAAGTACTTTATCTTCCAGAAGGACCGGGCGTATCAGGGCAGGTTGGTTTCAGAGGAAATGTAGCCTAGTGCTAATAATTTGTCATATACAATTCCAGTGACCTGTGGAGGAATATGGTGAACCAGCTGGATGTGGAGTTTGGGGAAAGGCTGGCCCGGTTAGCTGTGGGCCATTTGAGCATCTAGTTCAGGTGGAATCAGTGTGCTCAAGAATAGTTGGGATGCTTTGCTGGGAGAGAAATGTGGATTCGCCATAGTGAATGAAACTGGTCCAGGTTTATGGTTCTGTTCTAGTTCAATTGAGGCATAAAGAGATGGTCTTTATGGTCTTCTGACTATACCTACTTTTCCTGTGGTGGACACACCACGGACTTGGGTTGATGCTTTTAGTCAAAAATGCAAAGAATTTAGTGAGCTGCATCTCTGTGCATGGAACTATGCTTTCTCTTAAGGGGAGAACAGAGCCCTTGTGTTTTAACTGTTTACAATTCAGTTGGGGAGGCAAGACCCTCACATACGAGAATTTAACAAGCAGTAAAAACCAGCATATAAATCGAAGCCACATAAATGACAGAACAGTGACTGAGTGAGCATTCAGAGCAGGGAAAGTTACTGTCGGGTGGGGGATCCATAGCAGCTTCCTGGGTGAGATGGGGCACAAGTGAGTCTTGAAGGATGGATGGGTGATGAGGTGAAGAATGGAGAGCGTTCAGGTGAGAAGTGGCCTAAAGAAGGATGAAGGGACATGAAGGAGCAAAATGTGCTGGAGGAGCAGTGAGTGAACAAGACAGGCTGGTGTAGACGAGGTTAGGGGGGGAAACTGAGTCCGATTATGAACAGCCTTGAATGCCAGACTCTTTCCCTAAATGATTAAAGAAAAACTAAGTTTATTCACTTAGTAATCTTATTTAATAGCTGTTTGAATTTGAATACCAGACATCATTGTAGATGCATTGGGAATTTTGCCCTTATTTGTTTGTTGAGTAGGACGACAATGAAGGGTTCATTTGGACTTTTAAGAACACAAAAGAGTCCAAAAAAAAAAAAAAAGAACACAAGAGAGGCAAAGCACAGAGGACTTTTAGGGTCGTGAAACTACTCTGTATAATGCTATCATGGTGGATTCACGTGGATATATATTTGTCTAAACCCATCAGATGTGTAACATCACAAGTGAACCCTAATGTAAACGATGGACTCTGGGTGATAATGATGTGTCAATGTAGGTTCATCAGTTGTAACAAATGTACAATCTAGTGGGGAATGTTGATAATGGGGGAGTCAGTGCATGTATGAAGTAGGGGTTATATGGGAAATCTCTGTACCTTCCACTCAATTTTGCTGTGAACCTAAAACTGCTCAAAAAAATGAAGTCCGTTTGAGAAAAAGAAAGGTTAAAAAAAAAGAACAAGCAAGTAAGAGACCTATATAGGTTTCCTTCTTTTTTTCTTGGTGAGAAAGATTGGCACTAAGCTAACATCTGTGCCAATCTTCCTCTATTTTATATGTGGGATGCCACGACAATATGGCTTGATGAGAGATGTGTAGGTCTGTGTCCATGATCTGAACCCACAAACCCTGGGCTGCCGAGGTAGAATGCATGAACTTAACCACTATGCCACCAGGCTGGCCCTGGTTTCTTTCTTTTAAAAATTTAAATTGAGAGGGCCAGCCCTGGTGTCCTAATGGTTAAGTTCAGTGTGCTCCACTTCCAGCGGCCTGGGTTTGGTTCCTGGGCATGGACCTACACTGCTCTGTTAGTGGCCATGCTGTGCTGGTGGCCCACGTACTAAAAAGTAGCAGAAGATTGGCATGGATGTTAGCTCAGGGCAAATCTTCCTCAGCAAAGAAAAGAAAAAAATTAAATTGAGAGAACCAAGGTCAAAATTTTTAAATGCACACCGTAGGGAGAAAGATGTGAAGTATTTGACTTTTCATCTCTGATTTAAACTCTCATCTCTGCTTCTTTAAAACCACACTCTTGGAAATAATTTGGATAGTTGAATCCTAAAAATTGCATTTCTGTTATTTGTCAACTGAGCTGTCACCTTTCAAACGTGCTTTAAAATACATCCCCTCAGTCATGATGGATCCCCCATCACCAAGTCCTGTTTGTTAGCCAGTCACATATGTGATGTTGGACGCTACAAAGCAGGTTACAGGCTTGTAGTTCCTGCCACCTGGGCAGGGACAGTCATACACTCGGCAAGATGATGCAAAGTCAGTCTGTGGGCACCCAACACCCGGATGTGCAGGACAAAGGAAGGCACCAGGCTTTCCATCATCCACAACAAGGTTTCCCTCACCTTTCTGTATATGCTTTTGGTTCGTCTTGACTCTGCGCCTGGTTGAGGAAATTCAGGCACATAGTGCAGGCAGTTAGGGGACTTGTAACGAGACCTAAGAGGTGGCAAAGGACTAAATTCGTTTATTTTGTCTCTCTGTTCTGTATCACACAATTCTCTCATCTCATATTTCCTATAAACATTTTGACATTCTGTTGAATTTTCTCAAATTTCTTCCATCTGGAAAAGCAGAGTATTCATCAGGGAACCGCAGCCATCTTGCCTACCTTTAAACTCTGACCGTTCAATTGCTGGCCATAGAAAAAAGTAGATTGTCTAACTTGCTGAACTGGGGCATGCAGATTTTCTATTTTGAAAGAACATTAAGGGAAAAAAAAGGGTGGGAGTTGATACTAATGAAATATAATGAGGAATGATTATTTCTATCGTTGGCTGTCAAAATTATTTTTGTTAAAAAAAAAAAGGCTGATTATTAGGGGCTGGCCCCATGGCCGAGTGGTTAAGTTCGCCACTCCGATTTGGCGGCCCAGGGTTTCACAGGTTCGGATCCTGGGCGCGGACATGGTGCCACTCATCAGGTCACATTGAAGCGGCATCCCACATGCTACAACTAGATGGACCCACAACTAAAATATCCAATTATGTACTGGGGGATTTGGGGAGAAAAAGCAGAAAAAAAGAAGATTGGCTAACAATTAGCTCAACAATTGTTAGCCAATCTTTAAAAAAAAAAAGATGATTATTAAATTAGAAATAATGTACCACGGGTTGTCCTAGTCACTTGAGCTTAAAAAAACAGAAAAACAAAAACGAGCAAGATTCCTCCCTTCGTGGAGCTTGCTTTTAGTGTGTTGGACAGATAATAAAGAACTGAAAAATAGTTATAAATTTTTAATAAGTTTTCTGTAATTTTACAAATTAAAAACAATTACAAACATTAAAAAATATATATTTTTGTTGTTTATAACGTCTCCGTCCTCCAGACACAGCGTTCTGTGATCGGGCAGCATGCTCATGGGGAAAAGCCAGCCGGGCTCACACGGGTGCTGCCAGCCCGCGCTCTCTGTGGACCTCAGAGCTGGGAAGGGTGGAGGCTCATCCATCGTCTGTGGCCCAAATGACAGCTCTTCTCCTGCGTGAGCTTTGCATGTGGTTTTCAGATGGAAGCCCCCTGAGTCATTTGAACTTGGAGCCTGAAAGGCTTTCTGTTCGGTCAAATGCCAGTACTTGTAAAATTCTGGGTCTTGATAAAGAGAAGAGTCTTTTCGGGAGCTGTGAGCGGTGAGTGGTGCATCTCATGATGTTGTCATGTCCATGGTGCACCTCTCTTGAGAGTTTTCAGGAAAGTCAACTCAACGGATTCAGATAGGATTAATTAATTTTTACCTTTGTGATTCCCTTTTTTGCTCTTTATTTTCTGTCTTCAACGCTTAGATTACATTGACCCCTCGTTGTAGCATCGCTACGTGAACATTGCAGAAAAATGTGGAAAATATTTTTAAGAGTGTAAAAAATTTAAAAAAAAATATCACTCCACCGTCAAAGAAAAATCTGTGTATAATATGAGAATTCTTTTTCTTTCGGCCTTTTTGAGGACATAAATATATTTTTGGAAAACATAAAATCTTGTAGCTTCCTTTTGTTTCTTCTTGATGTTTTACCAGGAATGTTTTCTCATGTTATGGAACATTCTTTCTAAATATGTTTTTTTTTGATGGTTGTTTAATATTCCATCGTGTTGATCTGGCACTATTTTAAAAACAAGTTTCTGTTGTTAGAAATGTATTTTTGGTGATTTTTTTGGCTGTTATAAGTAAGGCTAAGATGAGTAATCTTGTACAAAAACTTTTTGAGTTGTTGCATAAAAAGAATTGAATGTTTTTAAATTAAAAAAATTTTCTTAAAAGTATTTTTAATATGAAAAAATTTGATAAAACAAAAGTTGAGTCTAATGCAATGAGCTCCCATACCTGTCAGCCAGTTTCAATAATTATCAAGATTTTCATAATTATCAGTATTTTTCTATATCTATAAATGATTACTTTTACCTTTTCAGGTGGTCACTGAAAAAAAATTCCAAGCAAGATCGTGCCAGTTTATTATATTCCCATGAGCTGCCTTAGTAAAAATATTAGTGTAAAAAAAATGTTTTTTGTTTTTTTTTTTGCTGAGGAAGATCAGTCCTGAGTTAACACCTGTGCCGGTCTTCCTCCATTTTTTGGGACACCGCCATAACATGGCTTGACGGGCCGTGCATAGGTCTGAGCCCAGGATCCGAACCTGCAAACCTTGGGCCGCCAAAGTGGAGTGTGCAAACATAACCACTACACCACTGGGCCAGCCCCTAAAAATAACGTAAGTTTTATAGGCAAAAAAAGATTATTTTGTTGTTTTGATTTGTATTTATTCAACAGCCAAGAGTTTGAAGGTACTTTCAAATTTTGTTGGCAATTTGTATTTATTCTTTTTGCATTGTACATTCATGTCCTTTGCCTATTTTTCTTTTCTGGTACTGATCTTTTCTTACTTAAAGAGCTCTATATAGAAAGGATATTAGCTGATCTGTCATGAATGTTAAAAGTACTTTCCCCAGATTTTATTTGCCTTTTAAATTACTTGTATGCTGTTTTCTGGAATAAGAACAGTTTTCATTTCTAAGTAGATGAATCCACATATCAAAACCTTCTTTTTTGTTTTTAAGGCTTACATCATCTTTCCTCGTGGCAAGTTTGGAAAAATCCCGTACTCCCAGGCGATATGACATGGTGATTAATCATGTGAGCTCTGGAGCTGTGTGCACAGTTCAAATCTCCACTTGGCATTATAGGCTGTGGGCCTTGAACAAGATCCTTAACCCCTGTGTGCCTCAGTTTCTTCACTAGTAAAACAGAAATGACTATATTGTTACCTACTTCATCGAGTTGACATGGGGATTAAGTGACAGTATATGTAAGATACTTTGAAACACATAGAAGGTGCTATGCAAATAAATATTCGATATTGTTATTGTCCATTTAACTCTTTAATCCAGTTGAAGCATTTTGGTGCGTAAGTAACGATTATAAAATCCTATCAGACAAGTCTTTGCTTACAAAAATCTTCAATACTTTGTGGTGATAAAATTCAGCAGATGAGAAAACACATTTAAGAAATGGTTAAAAAAAAAAAGAACTACACTTTCTTCCCTAATGTTAAAATAAAAAGGTAGAATCTTGCTTACAAATCCCCGTAGAATTATAAGAAATATCTACTTTTTAGTGGTGAAAGAAACTTTACATATCCTTAGCTAAACCTTGTCATTCAAAAAACTGAAGAAACAGGTGCAGAGTGGACAGGATCCACAGCTGGAACGAGACCCAGGGCTTCTCATTCTCCCTCCAGTTCTTTTTAAGTAAAGAGGGAAAAATAAAACCACAAATTGTGAGCACACCTAGCCACAATTCATTAGAGCTTCACTAATTTAAACTCCCCTATTGTTGAGGGAGGAGAAAAACCTATTGCCCACTTTCAGTAGAAAAGGAGTTGTTTACAGCCAGATTTACACATCCAAAGTAAAGGCAAGAAGCGAAGGAACTGGAAAGATTCACTTTCTCTTGAAATGGATATTTGAGGTCAAAGTAGGGTTTTTGCACCTGAATTCTCTGGATAATTGCCACAAGCTTTGCTTTTGACTTGCTTATGAGAGATTTAACTTATTGAAATGGAGCAATTGAAAAAATGATCTTCAGACTTCAAGCAATGTAGGCCACCACTCGGGACTCAGGTCAAGCATTGGCTCATCGGATGCTAAGAATTCTTCGGGGCCCCGTCCTGGGCCCTGACCCTGCCGTGGAGAACCAGCCGGACTAGGCGTGTGTCCTCATCGAAACTATATTCAAGTGAGATTGAAAAAAATGCATAATCAAGATCATTTCTGAGTGACAAATGCAGTTACATCAGAAGGTGGAGGGCGGGGAGGCTGGAGGGGGCGGTGAATCCACGTTACCAGGGGTTGTCAGGGATGGAAGGCCTTTCTGAGGTCAAGTGAGAGCTTCGGAAGATTTTGTGAGAAGCAGCCAGCTAAGTAAATATCCAGGGGAATGGGGTTTCAGCCGAGGGAACATCAAGTGCTTAGGGCCTGAGATCCAGAAAGGTTGGCTGTGGAATCTACTGGGTTTCCTCTTATTACCCAATCTCCTGTTTGCAGATATGATATGCAATTATGTGGGGAGGAGATTCTCTAGGCAATTTTAGCTATAGTCCTTGTAGATAAAAGAGGGCTTTGCCTTCTATTCCATTACTGCCTGTGCGCCAATCGCATCTCAGAGATGGTGGGAGGGGAAAGCTTTTAAGAGGGCCTGGCAGCCTTAAACAGCACATTTTGATTTTTCTAATGTTAGCACAAATACTGGCTGTGCTGCCAGGATATTTCCACACATGTGGCCGCAGAGATGATGGGGCTGTCATTTATTGATTCGAGTAGTTGCAACAGTTTTTCTTTTTAACTGGAAAACTCACGTCCTGGTGATTTCTTCCAGGGAGCTCCCCGGAGAAGGAATTTTTTTGAGAACTATGTTCCACCTTGATTTCTCGCATGTTGATGTCTAGAAAGCAGTCAATGAACTACCTGGTTTACATTCTTCATTGAGTAATTTAAAAAAAGACCTAACAAACAAAAACAGCTCACTGGTTTTTAAGTCAAGGACTAACCCTTGGGAATGCTCAGATCTTTAGCTCTGCCTTGGGAGGAGTCATTCTGCAGAACCCCGGGCTTAGGGAATATTAAACATGTCCCAGCAGGGGAGAGGTTTGTTGTGTTTTATTTTCTTCATTCTATTTGTAAACACCTTCAATAATGCCTGATAGGTGAAAGGCTCTTAATAAAATAAATATCAGCTGAATCAATTAAAGGTAGAAGAATCTAAAAGACGTCTTTTTCCCACTTCTTTCATATGACTTTCTCCTTCAGACAATCCTAAGAGGGTTCTGATTGACTCACCTGGAGGAGGGCCCCCATGCACCTGTTTCTACTTTTCCAATAAAAGGACAAATGAACTGGATGGTGAAGAATATGTTTGTTCTTCCTATTCAAACTGTGGGTGAAAATTCAGCAAATCAGGAGTGGATAAAATTTATTGCCCTTTGGGTATTAGATTTCACTACAATTCTTAAACTCTAGTGTTATTTTAATCTGTATGTGTCTTTCTATTTAAAGTGGGTTTCTTGCAGAAGCATATAGTTGGGTCATGGTTTTTGATCCACTCTGACAGTCTCTGTCTTTTAATTGGTGCATTTAGACCATTGACTTTCAAGGTGATTATGGATAGAGTTGATATGATTATTTTCTTGAGAGCCTGGTATCTAGTCAGCTCTCAATAAATGGTGATGGGCTGAATACCATTCTCTCGAAGCATGAACCACTGCTCCAGGAGGAAGTTAACCATTAAGTGGAGAACTATTTGAAGAGTGTTAATCTGGACTGAGAGTTTAGGGATCTGAAAGAGGTGATATGACTTCTAAAGGTGTGAACAACCCAGGGAATCTCGCACGATAATCATGGACCGAGAGTAACATAGTCATCGTTTTTTGATGGTGATGACAATAAGATCAATTTTTCAACCACACCTTCAAAAGGCAGCTGTTTTGTATCAGTGTTTTCAGGCCAGCACAACACTGGGCCTACGGATGGCAATAATGTGGCATCCTTAAAGACCTGTTAAGAGAGTAGTTCTCGTATCGAGTGTTCTTACCACACGCGTACACAAAAGAGATCCATTTGGTTAAAAATCTCCTCTTCTCATTCTGATAGGCTCCTGTTCACAACGTATTCGTTCTTTACTGTTATAGACTTCTTCATCAGTTAAGCGTCTTTTTCTTCTTTTCTAAATTGCAGACCACTAAGGGCTAGATTCTAGTTTGCGTGCCCTGCCATCCTAAACCCCCTGCACAGAGCTGTGTGTGCAGTCATTGTTCAGTCCATGCTGCTGAGATTGAATTAATTTTGCCCATCCTCCCACCAGTAATTTTTGTCTTCCGAGGATTACAGGAAACCTGCAGAACTCTTTCCCTGTGAAGAAAGATGTGGACTCTACCCTTTTAGAAGCCGGTTTGGAATATGTGTACAGGGTATAAAAAAGCCAAGAATTTAAAGTTTCAAAAGATGACCCAGCCCTGATGGCCTAGTGGTTAAAGTTCCGTGCTCTCACCACTTGGGTGGCCCAGGTTCTGTTCCCGGGTGCAGAACCACCCCACTTGTCTGTCAGTAGCCATGCTGTGGCAGTGGCTCACGTGAAAGAACTAGAAAGACTTACAACCAGGACATAGAACTATGTGCTGTGACTTTGGGGAGTTAAAAAAAAAAGAGAGAGGAAGATTGGCAACAGATGTTAGCTCAGAGAGAATCTTTCCCAGCAAAAAAAAAAAAAAAAACCCCAAATCCAAACAAATTACAAAGGGGAGCACAAAATGTTTAATGATTGGGAAAAAATGTTCCGGAAATGTTTGAACTATTTTGCTCCATATATTACTAAGTCTATTGAAACTGCATATGTGTAGCTACAGTGTTTCTACACAAGATGCTTAAAATGGAATTTTCTAATCTAGGCATCATGAAATGATTTGCCTCACGTAGAATATTTTTCTGAAAAATTTGTGGTTGTTTCTACTACTTATGGTTTCTGAAAATTTAGCAAAATTTGTTTTTTTTAGATTCTCTTAAACCTCATTTTCAAATTTATAGTTAGCAAGTTGAATATACACATGAAATGCTAAAAGCAAAAGTTCGAGAATTTTCTTCTCATTATATTTAGTGGAATTTGTTCATTCAAATCAGTTTATCAAACTACCATTAAATGATCAATGTTTTGCAGAGTCTGAGTTGCATGGGTTGAAATTAGATTGTATTAGCATATTATGACAATAATTTACTTTTTACTATTCCTATACAAGTTGTTAAAAAAATATTGGGTCAAAAATGGCCCATTCAGGAAATTCTAACAATTTCTGTTAATAAAATGAAAAAAGAAATCACCATCCTCTACATGTGGGAATAATGATTCTGAAGTATATATGACTAAGCTTTTGAAAACCAAATATGCCAGAACTGATATATTCAAATAATGAATACCCTTTCCTCAAAAATAGTTCCATTGGGAGAGGTGTACTTAATATAATGGCGTTATCAGTGCTCAAGCTATTTTAGGATCCCATCTTTTAATATTGTTTTCAAAGCCCAAGGCACAACATTTTGGATGCCTTCATTGGTGTTGGAGCTGGGGAGACGTGGTACTCAGATCCTCCTTCAAGAGAGGACCTGTTTGTTACTCAGCTGCCAGGGGTGTGGTTAGCTGACAGCTCCACTTCACTTGTTGGCTTCTTCAGAGTTGGCCTCAGGGTTTGAGAGGAGGTCATACTCTTCTTGGAGTGGTCCCCACCCACGACTGAGCAAGGCATGCAAGGTCATGCCACTTTGCCCAACATGAGACCCCTTTAATGGGCACTCCGTGCTCCGTACTCCCTGCTGAGCTGGCAGAGACATTATCAGGTGTGCATCTCGCCCTGACATCTCCCTCGGCCCATCTGGCTTTTCCTGTTTCTCTTCATAGGTGTTACTCCCCAGTACATCTCTTGCACTCCCAACCTCTTATCATTTACCTTCCAGAGAAACCAACCTGTGACAATTGGGAACAGATTCATGCACTGACTTTTTAAAAAAATGTAGTGCTTCATATTTGCTAGTCACTTTCTAATTGCTTGAGATAGATTAAAAGACTAGAAGGCATGGTCCCTACCTTAAAGGGCTTATGAGAGTCTGTTGGGGGTACAAAGAGACAGACCGAGGTAACAGAACGTGATGAGTAGTGTGGTGAGGTAAGTGTAGCGTGACGGGAGTACTGAAGGTTTGGGGACGTCAGGGAAGATCGCTCAAAGATGCAATCTCCAAGGTGGTATCTGGGGAAGCTGATGGGGAGGACAGACTGTTTTAGGAAAATGAAACTGTGTGTCCAGAGGCTTGATGGTGGGTGGGAGAGTGTGTGGCCTGTTGGAT